GAGCTCAGCAGACAGCTTGTCTATTCAGAACATAGCTCCTGTGTGCTGAATGGAGGGGTGTGTGTCCCTTTCTTCCAATCAGCTCTATCTGCAGCTCCCTGGCCCCTCCTCTGTGATTCTGACAAATGCAGAAAGAGTTTACCTAAAATCAGCACTTTTAAAGGGATATGTACAAAAGAGAAGACTGCAAATAAATGAGTAAAACTTATGTAGGAGGATTTGTTTCACCTCTGTGTATCATCTTATTTTTTATTATTTATTTATTTCAGGTACTTGTATAGCGCTGTCTATTTACGCAGATATATATATATATATATATATATATATATATATATATATATATATATATATATATATATTATTTGTACATTCACATCAGTCCCTAACCCTCAAGGGTGTACAATCTAAGGTCCCTAACTTACATTCATAAATACACATACTAGGGCCATTTTAGACAGGATCCAATTAACCTACCAGCATGTTTTTAGAGTGTGGGAGGAAACCGGAATACCCAGAAGAAACCCACGCAGGCACAGGGAGAACATGCAAACTCCAGGCAGGTGGTGCCGTGGCTGGGATTCGAACCAACGACCCTAGTACTGCCAGGCGGAAGTGCTAACCATTTAGCCACTGTGCTGCCCATAAGGGGTTATTCTGAGGTTATTCACTTCACTGGGTATATGAAAGGGTTTACAACCACTTTAAGCCAGTGTGCATGGAGCCTAGTCTGTTTGTAATGCACTAGCATTGTGTCCTTTGAACATTCACACAGCACCCTCTGTTGTGAGCAGATAAATTAGCAGACAGTTCTTGCAATGTAAAATCCACAATGCAGTGTATATCTAGGTATGCACACAGTTTCTAAGCTTCCAGCACTAAAGATCTTGTAACTCTTCTGGGCTGAGATTTTGAAAGTCCTATCCAAGTTGAAATGTTTTTTTTTTTTTTTTTCAAAAATATTTTGCATTAAAAATGTATTCTAGAAAAACTAAGCTTTATGTACCCGAGTCTTTTGTAGATTGCATTTTGCATCCTCAGCTCTCCACTTTGACACACTTTGCAGCATGCCAAATGAGCCAGCAAATTTGCATGGTAAACATGACTCATTGAAAGGGAATAATACAATGAAGCATTTTGAAATAACTTTTCAGTAATTCTGTGCTAGTGTCAACTTGTGTGGGAAACTACTGCAAAGCTTTCAGCTTTCTTGCTGAAATAAGACCAGGACATATTGAATTATGATTGGTTTTGTTGCAATGGATTACTGTAATTAATGTTGAACTCTACTCCACTTTAAAATAAAAAGGGACTTCAGCCTCCCCTTCTGAGTAATTTTGCTTTTATCCCCTTCTTGCCGAATCCGCTGGGTAGAGCTTAAATTGCATACTAACTTGCCCAGCATTGTCCTGCTGTGATATGCTGATCGCACTCTGGGTTCCGTGCTGCTGGTTTTCTTTCTGACATCTTTGGGAGCCAGATGTCTCTTCTGGGTGTTTACAGCCAGCCCAGTGGTGTATTTAGGTTTTGTGCTACCCTAGGCAACACAAAAATCATCTGCCCCCATGGACACGACCAACACCACCCCCCTTTCCCCCTCCCGCGGAGAGAGCCTGACCTTGACCAACAACACCCCTGTCCCCCCACCTGGGAGAACCTTCCACTACCCCCCCCCCCCCCAGTGATAGACACCCATCTTCACAGCTCCGGACATCTCTGATGAGAGTCGGGCTCCACATACACCATCAAGCATCCCGCAGCCTCTCTAGGATCCCACCTGGTTTCCATGGTGCGCATGTCCCTTCTACCATCCCTTCTTCTTGGGGGATGTGCTGCCCCCCTGAAAAATGCCGTCCTAGGCAAGTGCCTTGTGGTAAATACGCCCCTGAGCCAGCCCCCTGATGATGTGCACTGCGCATGCACAGTGTGGTGTAAATGGCCCTGAAGCCTCCTCTGATGCTGCATGGTTTCTTAGGAGGCCATAGATTGCTGGGACTATGTCATTCTTGTCTAGGCAAGAATCAGCAGACGTCCCAGTTGGCTACACAAAAAGGTAGCTAAAAGAAAAAAGCAAAAAAAAAAAAAAGTGCGGTTGTGGGAAAGGTTTTCAGTGGGTTAGGTTGAAAAACTGGGTTGCTGGTCAAAGAAAGTTTACTTGTCAGACATGCAGGGACAATTCAAGTGCCCTCAAGCATCCGCAAAATGTTTGCTAAACAAGAAAGGTCACTTGAGTCAACAGGTCATATTTATAGTCCCAGTCAAAAATACTGATGCTTGCTGATGGTTGAATTATGCCTGCATGTCTATTGTTACTTGGGTGTCTATGGATAGAAGCGGGGAGGGGTGCTGCACACTACTGTGCCACCAACTTATCAGGAGGAAAAGTATAGAGAATTGTAAAACCTTTTCTAATCTGTACAATTTTAGCTCCCCCTGTGAAGCCTCAGCGGGTAGTGTCATGATTCAGGTGGAAGCAGTTGAAATGACCACTAAGGGCACAAAAAAAAATGTTCATATTGCATTAGTTGACTTCATTTTATGGACATTACCCAAACAGGACAGACGTTTCTTTTTTTTTTTTTTTTTAAATTAAAGGGAATCTGACTGGATAGAATAAACAGGAGCTCACATTTTTGACACAAATGTTTGTAAAGGTACATGCTTCAGGGGGGTATCCTCCTTCTAGCTTCACTAGCTGTTGCATCACTACATGTAAAAAAATGATTACTGGACATGTATCCAAAGCTTTCACTGGCTGCATGCTAATAATGGCTTAGGACACATGCCTGATAAGGATAAGAATGGTATCTCATCCATAAATAAGAAAAATGGCAGTGGCAGTTCCCATGTTGTCAGTGGCACATTTTTAGGTCTTAACCACTCCTGACGATTTACCCCCTTAATGACCAGGCCTCTTTTTGCTACTCGGCGCTGCACTAATTCAACTGATAATTGCGCGGTCATGCAATGCTGCACCCAAATTAAATTTATGTCCTTTTTTTTTACACAAATAGAGCTTTCTTTCTTTTTCACGCTATAAACAAAAAAAAAAATTTTTTGAAGAAAAGCGATATTTTTTACTTTCAGCTATAAAAAATATATAGTAAACTCAAAGTTAGTTATAAATTTAGGCCAAAATGTATTCTGCTACATGTTTTTGGTAAAAAAAATCCCAATAAGTGTATATTGATTGCTTTGTGTGAAAGTTATAGCGTCTACAAACTATGGTATAGATACTGCAATTTACGCCATTTTTTTGCTATACAGCGCTGCGCTAGTTTAACGGACAATTGCGCGGTCATGCAATGCGGTACATAAATGAAATTTATGTCCTTTTTTTTCACACAAATAGAGCTTTCTTTCGGTGGTATTTGATCACCTGTGCGTTTTTTTTTATTTTTTGCGCTATAAAAAAAAAAAAAGTTGACAATTTTGAGAAAAAAAAATATTTTGGACTTTTTGCTATAAAACATGTCCAGTAAAAAAAATTTAAAAATCAAATTTTGTCATAAATTTTGGCCAAAATGCATTATGCGATGTCTTTGCTAAAAACAAAACCAATACGTGTAAATTAATTGGTTTACGTGAAAGTTATAGCGTTTACAAATGGCGGTAAAGATACTTGGATTTTTTTTTTTTTTTTACTAATAATGGTGGTGATCAGCGACTTATGGCAGGACTGCGGCAGACATTCTGACACTGGGGGGGAACTGACTTGGGGTCACTGACAACCCCAGTGACACCAATACAGTGATCAGTGCAAAAAAAAAAAACACTGACACTGTACTAATGGCACTGGGGAGGAAGGGGTTAACTTTATTATTCAGTGAAAGGGTTAACTGTGTGAGGGGGAGTGTTTTACTAGGGGGTGGGGGTGTGTACTGCACGGGGACACGCTGATCGGGAGAGAGAAACTCTTCTCTCCCGATCAGCGTGTCAGGAGCTGTCAGGGAACTGACAGAAGAGCTACTGCAGCCCTGCTTTCTTTCAGTGATGGCCGCTAATTGGCGGGATACAGCCGGTAATGACCAGCCGTGACCTGGCGACTGACACCCGCGGCGGCCGGGATTGGTGGTGCAGTTAGGGCAGCGTCGCGCCTCGTGCACACTCCCTACCTGTTTTGCAAAAGCGTGTTTTAAAACATGCTTTTGCCCAGCCGTGCCGCCCTGCCGCCGTATTTCTACAGTGACTGGGTGGCAAGCGGTTAATAGTGTATTGTTAAAGGTCATGTCCAATGGAGGGTAAGCATAGGATACCCAAAGCTTTCATAAAGACGCAGATAAAATAACATTGCTGTTAGTAAAGGGGACCTATAGATAAGTCTCTGATCTTTATCAATGCATAAGCTACACTTAGGAATAACAAGGAGCTCTGAGTTTAACTAAACCAAACAATCCAGTCGGTGCAATCGTATATGTTCGCTTGATTTCATGCTTTGCGACATGCATGTCTTAACACCCATTCCAGTTGCTTGTCCATGTAGGAGCAGGTGTTGGGTAGTATCTCTGTTATCTCACACAGTTCATATGCTTTCACTTTTCTGTGGTTTCCATCTGTGTAAGATATTTGTTTGCTTACCCGCTTACACAGAAATTGTCAATAATGCATTTATCTTTTAGTTATTTTGCTAAGTAAACCAAAGCCTACTGTTCGTTAATAGTGTTTGAAATGAAACTGTTGGCGCCTTGCAGAAGGCAATGACTCATATTGGTGAGCATCTATGACTGTGTGATGGCATGACAGGCCAAATATTTTGTGACTGTAGGGCTTTTTGTTTTTGCAAGTTTTTTTTTTTTTCTCTTTATTTTAATCCCTGTCTTTTAAGCGTTAAATGCCACACTTTGTTTAACAATTTGTGTTCCAGGAAATATGTTACTAACTTGTTTTTTATTTTGCTTCTAACTGAAATAAGATAACTCACAAAATTATAATAGCACCTTTAAATTGGAAGTAAGATTATGTTTAATATCCAACAGTGAGGTTCTGATCTTACTCATTTCCAGGAATCACATTACATGATGAAGCAGTCGATTGGGCTGCGGCGGGAGATCAAGTTAGTCTCACTTTGACCGGCATGGATATCATCAAAATCAAGTAAGCTTATGTTTGACTCATCCTCAGTTTCAGGACATGGTGAAATGGGTGTAGCCTCTGCCAGCCATGTGGTTTTATTTTTGGTCCGATTTGACTGTTACTCGAAATTTGTCATTTATTAATGAAACTTTGACTGAAACCAAACCTCCAGCAAACAGGAACGCAGGGTGTTCTGCCTTTTTTTAGCACAATACGATAGATGCTTGGTCATCAGAAATTGCTGCAAGCATTTTGCAGCCTTGTCAGTACTGTGCAGAATTTTCACTACTGGATCTTTTGTCTTGCTTGATTGGGTTCATACATTTGCAAAGGTGTTTTAAGATTTTAGAAAAGCTAAAATATCTAACTATCCATCTGTTTTGCTCACCAAGAAGAAATTGACATGTAGATTGTAGCTCTAAGCTGGCCAAACATCAACTGTTTCATCTGATAATGGGGATTTCAACATTGGTAAGATAATTATATAGCATTTGTACCAGGAATCCTAGCAGATACACTTTGATGAAAAAATAGATGTTAAATTAATTGGTTGCTTTACAAAGATTAAACTGACTCTTTGTTCCATACTATGAATGGTGTCACATGACAGGAACAACCTGCGACCACATTCTCAGCCTGTGGGCACTTATTCTTCATCATAGAGAATGTGCATAATAGGCAAACAATGCATCTTCTAATGGTTTGCTCTTTGTTTAAAAAAAAAAAAAGCAACCACAGTGTAAGTGTTGGTTTTAGGCTGGCTGGCATGGCATCGTTTATTTCTGGTTTCAACATAGACCAAATAGACTGCCATGAAGGTGCCATAACCATGCATTTATGAATAATGTAGTTTTGGAATGTTATACCCTTACTCCTTTAACCTCCCCTTCTGAACCAGTCTTTGACTTTGTTTTGAGCCAGACATAGTGCTAGAGAAGGTGGTGCCAACTAAGGAGGACCTCTCACCTTCTAAGGTGTGAAATTAGGATGATACTGTATGTCTGTTGGAGACATATCATCTTAAACTAAATGAGACTATTGTTATGCTTAATGAAGCTGTGCACTCTTGTTTAATGTTGGAGCAGCCTGAGTCTGCTTCCCCAAAGTACCCAGTATGCGATCTCTAAAAATTTTACCTACACCAGCGAAGTCCTTGCTGGTCATGCTTGTCCTGTATGGAGACTGGCTTCACCAAGGGAAGATTTGATTTTCCTTTCTAAATGTTTCACCCAACAATATGCTATTGAGAAAAGTTTCCTTAGGAAATGGCCAATTTCTTACCTCAACCAGAGGATACAATTTTTTTTAAGGAAATGTCCTAGTCTGTCATTGCCTTACTCCTTCTGGGGGATTTTCTGGCCTCAACAGACATCCATTATGTCGATCTGCACATTCCCATTTTTCTGCTGCATCAACACCAATTTGTCATATTTTCCCTTTGGCCTGTCCAGGACCCCCAGGGTTTTCATCAAGTTGCGATCTGTTGTTTCTTGTTAAAGGTTTAGTCCTCCCTGTTCCTGTCAGCCAGTGTCCTACAGACAGTCCAACATATCTGGATCCATCTCACAGATTGGAATACCTGGATCTGATGTTGGATATGTCCTTATTCACGTTCTTGCATTAGGGTTTTCAGTGCCATACCCCCAGTTTAACTTCAGACCAGTGCAACTCAACATTCTGGCAGTATAAGGCATAAGCATAAGACAGACTCATTTCCTCGACTGCCATTTGTGTCTGACCCTGAAAGCCAGACTATACTAGCGTGGTGGATTTCCTGCCTAACATTGGGGTTAGGGAAGCCCTTTCCTTCACAGTCATGGTTAAGGCTCACAATGGGGCTGGGGTACAGTCCAGAAATACCCTATTGGTATAGGGAAGTGGGCTGTCAGAAGATCGCCTTCCAATCAACATTCTGGAACCCGTTAGATTTGGTTATCCCTTCAATGTGGAACTCCCTTTTTGTGTAGACACCCGACTGGAATCCAGTTGGACAGTGCCATGGGTGTGGCCCACATCAACCATCAAGAAAGCTCCAAACGTTGCACTGTTCTAAGGGAACATACTTGATCCTCTCTTGGGCAGAACCTTACCTTCCATCCCTGTTTCTTGTTCACATCCCAGGCATGGAAAATTGACAGGCAGATTTTCCCAGTCAGAGGCTGGATGTAGGAAAATAGGCTCTCTATCCAGAAGTATTTCAAGCCCTTTGCCAAAAGTGGGGAACACCAGATGTGGACCCCCAGGCATTGAGATTTAACAACAAACTGGAGATTAGTTACTAGATCCAAGGACCATTGTGCTTTCGCAGTGAATGCTCAGATGACAGAATGGTATCAGTTCAGCCTGATCTATGACTTTCTTTCCCTCCAGATTCTCTCTTGCCTACCCCACAGGATCAAGACGCAGGTCATTCCGTTGATCCTCATTGTACCAAATTGGTGCTTCTTGGGCCCTTCCGGATCATCCAGACCTACTGTCCCAAGATCTAGTGTTTCAACCTACTTCTCTGTCGCTGGCTTTAGCTACATGGCTGTTGAAGCTAAAGTCCTGTGCGACAGGGTCTTCGACTTCAGGCATATCCTGCCCTATTGGAAGCTAGGAAGCCAACTTCTCAAATCATCTTACCTTGCACCTGAAATATCTATGGTGTGAGTTGAGGAACTTTTATCCTAGACAGTACTTCATTGAATATAATCAGTGTTTCCTTGAATCTGTTCAGGACCAACATTTGGCCTTGAGTACCATTAGGGAAAAATCTCAGCCTTGGAAACAATTTGCTTCAGAGACCTTTTGCCTGTCACTCTTTAGTTAAGACCTTTTTCAGGGAGAAGCTCATATCTTTCCCCTGCTTGTTTCTCTGTGGTCCCTTAGGGTCTTAGTCTGGTTCTCTCAGCTTTTCAGAAGCTTCCTTTTTAAACTATTAGTGATATGTCCTTGTCTGACCTTACTTGTGGCTATTACCTCTGCAAGGAGAGTCTCTGATGAAGTGGCCTTATCTTGTATGTATCCTTTCTTAGTATTGACAAAATTGTATTGAGGCCTCCTCCCTCCTGCTTTTTTGGATACCCCATTCATTATTAAAGTAATTAAAGAAGCCTGTGTCCTGTACATTAGAAAAATCAGATTCCTGTAGTACCCTATTGCTGACTGCAAAACTGAAGCTAGCTGAGAATAGGTGTTCAATCACCTGAAGGTATCTGCATATAACATATAACCCAGTTGTAATGATTTAAAGAAGCCTTTGTCCTGTACTATACTCCAGGATCTCCCTTGTCCTACTCCACAGGATCAAGAGAGGGGGCTACTCTTTTGCAGATTTATTTTTGGTTTGTTCTTGTTATATTAGAAAGTGACTTTGTGGGGCAGTCGATATGGAATTTATTTGCAATAGAATCTGGAGGAAGATACCTCAGAATTAATCCTTATATACACTATGGCAGATTAGAAGAAAAGAGGTAGAGTAAATTGAAAACATAACTCAGGAAGTTGTTAATATTTTAAGTCAGATTCTCCATATGAAGTGGAAATAGTTTACATCATTGTAGGAGAGGAAGAATATACCTATAACAGATTAACATTTTTTTTTATTCTGAACATTTCTTAAAGCTGCACAAAGTACTACAATAATACTACAATAATACATACTGTAAAATAAAGCTGAATGTAAAAGCTGGAATTACACACAAAATAGTTAATCATCTTATAATATTTTGTGTATCCATTATTTGAATAATAGAGAACCTCTAATTCTGTAACCCAGATTGATTATACAGGTTTGTTCTGTTCTTGAGACTTCCAACGTTATCACATCAGATATATAAATAGCTCTAGTTATTTGGAATAATATCTGGCTATACTAAATAACTCTCTTTGTTTCTCTATAGTGTAGGATACGTGTTTTGCAGTCAAAGTGAACCAATTAAAGCTTGTACACGTTTTCGAGCCAGAGTTCTCATCTTTAACTTTGATGTCCCTATAACCCAAGGTTTCCCTGTAAGTATGCTTTTCTCTTGCTCATTTTGCTGTTGGAACAAATGAAATGACTAAAATGTGTGTCATACTTGATTTCCTAATGTAAAAAGAAACTGATAGGAAAATTGCTGCCCTTGCTGTTGGTTGCACAAATCTGCATATCTGCAGAAATTGATTACTGTCTGCATTTAGCTTTGTAAATGCTTGCTTTGGATGTTCTGGTGTTCTCCGACACACTTTTAGCGCTCGTTCACATATAAGCGGAATGGATGCGTTTTGAACTGCATTCAACCCACATGACATGTGAAATAACATTGCTTCCTAAGGTGCCTGTTTACATAAATCCAGTGTGGATTCAGTATGGATTCAGTGCAGTTTACAAAAGAGTCATGTAAGATTTCTTAGCAGTGTGGTCAGGTTCAGGTGTGGATCACAGGCTGTTGACTTCTATGGGAACTGTTTTTAAACCTGTGAACAGGATACAATTCTGAGCTATTCCTATCCTGAACCGGATGTAAACCTGACCAGAACTGTTTAACAGCTACTGTGTCAATTGGCTGTAAAACCTGAGCTTCAATCCGCACTGCACATGTGTGAATCAGTACTTAAGCGTAATGCCAGACCCAACCTGCATTTATAGCTGAATTTCTTATTTAAAAAAAAAAAAAAAAAAGCTTTAGATATATACAGTATACTGAGATATATATATATATAATCTCCAGAGCATCAGATGGATCTCATTATTAAAAGGTATCAGTCAGCAAAAGGGTACAAAAGAATTTCCAAGGCATTAGATACTAGATAGATATACCATGGAACACAGTAAAGAATGTCATCAAGTGGAGAAAATATGGTGCAGCAGTGACATTACCAAGGGCTGGACGTCCCTCCAAATTTGATGAAGAGGAGAAGAAAACTGGACTGGGAGGCTACCAAGAGGCCTACAGCAACATTTAAAGGAGCTACAGGAATATCTGGCAAGTACTGGCTGTGTGGTACATGTGACAACAATCTTCTGTATTCTTTATATGTCTGGACTATGGGGTAGAGTGGCATACATCCAAGCCCGGCTAATTTTTGTAAAAACATCTGAAGTCTTCCAAAAGCATGTGGGAAAAAGGTATAATGGAATTATGGTCTGATGAAACCAAGATTGAACTTTTTGGCCATAATTCCAAAAGATGTGTTTGGAGCAAAAACAACACTGCACATCACCCGAAGAATATCATACCCACAGTGAAGCATGGCCGTGGCAGCATCATGCTTTGGGGTTGTTTTTTCTTCAGCTGGAACTGGGGCCTTAGTCAAGGTAGAGGGAATTGTGAACAGTTCCATATACCAGTCAGTATTGGCACCAAACCTTCAGGCTTCTGCTAGAAAGCTGAACATGAAGAGGAACTTCATCTTTCAGCATGCCAACGACCCAAAGTACACATCCAAATCAACAAAGGCTTCATGAATGGCTTCACCAGAAGAAGATTAGTTTTGGAATGGCCCAGACCTGAATCCGATTGAAAATCTGTGGGGTGATCTGAAGAGGGCTGTGTACAGGAGATGCCCTCGCAATCTGACAGATTTGGAATGTTTTTGCAAGGAAGAGTGGGCAAATATTGCCAAGTCAAGATGTGCCACACTGATAGACTCATACCCAAAAGTATGAGTGCTGTAATACAATCAAAAGACGCTTCAACAAAGTATTAGTTTAAAGGTGTGCACACTTATGCAACCATATTATTTTAGTTTTTTTATTTTTACTTCCCTCCATCTAAAATATTTCAGTTTGTTGTTCAACTGAGTTGTACAGTTTATAAGTCACAGTAAAGGTGCAAAAAGTTCTGAAATTATTTCTTTGTCTCATGTTTTTGCATGTGTATTTATTTATTTTACAAAGACGTGCTGGTAGGTTAATTGGATCCTGTCTAGATTGGCTCTGATATGTGCACTGTAGGTATGAATGTGAGAGACCTTAGAATGTAAGCTCCTTGAGGGCAGGGACTGATGTGTATGTACAAATATAAATGTGTAAAGCGCTACGTACATTGATTGTGCTATATAAGTACCTGTAATAAACAAATTTATATATACACACACATATATATATATATATATATATATATATATATATATATATATATATATATATATATATATATAATAAAATAGCTATGAAACCTAGTAACCAGAATAATTAGTTATGGGTCATGGCTTTTGTCTGAGTAAAAATAAAATGAGGGAAGGGGGCCCTGTGAATTCCAGTATTTGCAAATGGTGATTCCGCATATGCTTTCTAAATGCTCAGACAACACCATCTAGTGGCTCAAGTGGAGATTGGTATATCTAGGAAAGCAAGGGATGCCAGGTTTCATCATTTTTTTGTAGAACTAAAATAACTAGCTTGTGCTAGTGTTTGAATTTTGAACTGTATTTCGGGGATTGTGTTTTTTTTTTTCCCCAAATTTATTTTTTATTAAGTTTTTCATAAAAAGTGATACAGAGCAGAGCCAGTTGACTAAAAAAACAGAGCCAGTTGTCTCACTCTAATACAATAGAGAACTGTCCAAACATTCAGAACAAAACCTTACAAATCCTTACTTTTATGTGCCACCTCCGCAAGGGACCAAAGTAGGTTCCAAATATAGGTTGGAATCGAGCAGGTCATGTTGTTGGTAGAAGTTTAATAAAGCCAAATATCCCAGACCTTAGAGAATTTCTTGGGGATGCCCCTAGAAGCATACGTGAATTTTATAGAGTTGAGTTTCTGAATTGACTAGGTGCTTCCAATAGTCTAGCATATGGGCCACCGATGACTTCCATTTCAATATTATGGCTTCCAAGCATAAAACAAAGGTGTCCTAAGAGAGCTGTAAGCACCCTAGTAGGGGCGAATGGGGGGGACCGGGCCCAATATACATATAATATTACCCAGTGGGACTGAAATAACAGTCCATGTAAAAATGAAACATGAGAGTTCGGTCCAATATGTCTGAATTGAGGGACAGTGTCAAAACATGTTGGCAAAAATCAGTTGGGTGAGTCACGCATCTCCAACATCCTGATGAAACAGGGATAAATCCTGTGCATCTGCTGAGGGTGAGATATAGTCTCTGAAGAATTCTAAATTGGATTAGACAGTCCCTAGCAGAAACAGATTGTGACATGGGGCCCTCCCAGTCTACCCCGTCCATCCAGTCCAGGAACCTCCTTCCACCATCTAGATTGTGGAGTGTCTAGTTCATCATGGATGGAGGGCAGTAAGGCCTTGTTGATTGTGGAGAGAGGCTTAGTTAGGGTATCTTTCCTTAAGAGAGTTTCCAGCCTGGAGGAGGTGATGGACATTATTTCCTTGACAAATTTGGCTTGCTATGCATGGCGAAGCTGCAGATACTATCTTGGGGATTGTTAGTGCCATGTTTCTTTACAGGTGGGACAGTTCGGTTATAGTCTGTCAGAGGGTCTTACCCTTATACATGGCATCCAAAATACAAAAAAGTTTAGACTAGAGCTCTACTGTAGAGCAAGCTTCCACCACACAGGTCTTTATAACTTTCCGTTGGCATATACTAGGTTTTATTTAGCCATGTGTATTAAACCTTTATGATTGGCTGTATAGATAAACTAATCAGCCATAATAATATGACAACTGAGAGTTAAGGTAAATAACATTGATTTTCTCCTTACAGTGGCATCTGAGAGTGAGTGTGATATAGTAGGCAGCAAGTGAACATAATGTCCCTGAATTTGATGTGTTGAAATCGGAAAAAAATGATCAAGTGTGATGATCTGAGTGACTTTGACAAGGGGCAAAGCTGATCCAGGAAATATCCGATTGCCTCTTGGGGGATCAGGAAGGAATTTTTTTCCCTGCAGGAGCAAATTGGATTTTTTGCTGGGGTTTTTTTTTTTTTGCCTTCCTCTGGATCAACTGTGTATATAGGATTGTATAATTTTTTTTCATTTTTATTGGTTAAACTAGATGGACTTGTGGTTTTTTTTTTTTTTCTTCAACCAGATTAGCTATGTATGTAACTTCAGAACTGCAGCGCTTCTACTAAAAGTGGTCCAAGAAAAGAAAACTGGTGAATCAGCGACAAGGTCCTGGATGGCCAAGGCTCTCATTGATTCACATGGGGAAAGAACATTGGCCCGTGTAGTCTGATCCTTTAGAAGAGCTACTGTATCTCGGATCACTGAAAATGTTAATGCTGGTTTTGATTGAAATATGTGAGACAACACAGTGCATCAGTTTGTTGCTTATAGGACTTCATAGTCGCAGGCTGGTCATTGTGCCCATGCTGACCTGTGTCTACAGTCAAAATCGCCTACAATAGGCACATGAGCATCAGAGCTGAACCATGGAGCAATGGAAGAAGGTGGCCTAGTCTGATGAACCACATTTTCTATTACATGTGGATGTGTGCATCGCTTACCTTAGGAAGAGATGGCACGAGGTTGCACTATGGGAAGAGGGCAAGTTAGCAGAGATCTAGTGGAGGCCATGCCTTAACGGGTCAGGGCTGTTTTGGTGGCAAAAGGGGGACCTACTCAATATTAGGTGGGTGGTCAGAAAGTTATGGCTGATTGGTGTATAATCTTAATAGTAAAGGCACACTTATACTTGCTTAGCTTTGTATGTTTAAATCAATTAGACAAATCCCGATGATATTTAGTATATAAAACAGTTTAACTAATATGAATCAGTTTTCAGTGGACAGCCTTGGATTTGACTTTTAGCCCCAAAGAGACATACAGAATGTCTGTTGCATTGTCATATTTATTGAACTTTTAGGGCTCATTCACACCATGCAGAAAAACTGTTGGAAACTAATGGACAGATTTTGCTTGCAGAGACATAAGTTTACATCGGTTTTCATGCGCTTTTCAATGAGTTTTATACACGTTGCAGATTCCTGTGCAGAAAAAAATCTGATTTGCAGATTTTTTTTTTTTCTTCATGCACAGGAAACTACAGCGTGCGTAAAACTCACTGAAATGCGCATGAATACTGATGTAAATGGAAGTCTCTAAGTGAAATATGGGCGTCAGTTTCCATCAGTTTTTCTGCACGTATGGTGTAAACGAGGCCTTAGTGTACCATATCCCAGTGGGTATGAATAATGCACAGAAGGTTTTTTTTTTCATTTTTAATGTGTTTATATTTTTTTTATTCCAGGTAATCATCCACTACCAAACTGTAAGTGAGCCTGCCACTATCAGGAAGCTAATCAGTGTCCTACACAAGAGCACAGGGGAGGTTGTAAAGAAAAAGCCAAAGTGAGAACTGGTTTTTTTATTTCATGTACTTTGTAGTGATATATATATAGATATATAGATAGATATATATAGATAGATATATATAGATATATATAAATATAGAGAGAGATGGATATTGTAATTCAATGTTTGAAGCCTTCTGTGCACCTTTTGTATGTCCCAAGTCAACACACTTTGAATTCCATCAAAATTTAAAAAAGCAACTGAGCAATCTTTAATCACATCATATTAAAAGAGAAGTTTGGGATATTTTATTTATTATTTAATATTTCTACTTACCTTGGTGGATTCAGCATCAATCTGATGCTATATCTGTCCCCCTTGACTTTAAGGCACTGCTGATCGCTCAGTTCTCCCTATCACCCTGAGCAGGGAACGGTGACTGTCAGTCAACGCCATTTGCTTTGCCACCCTGCGCTCTCACTGGAGCTCTGGCTGTGGAGGGGTGGAAGTCACTGATTCAGGCTCTCAGTGGAGTGACCCAGGGATCTGACCCAAGGATCTCTGTTGGCGGAGTCATATCAGTCGGCAGAGGACTTTAGCCCACTATCAACTGAAAATGGGTCATAGGAGTGCAGAACAAACTGCACTCCTGTGATCCACAAACGAGCTTTGGCTTTATTTTTTTTTGTATGACCGTCATACCACCGCATAGAAAATTGATCGTTTGTATGCAAAACAACTCATTTTTTCAATGTTGTTCAACCGTATTTTTTCGTTCACAATATCGTTACCGGTTAAAACATCCTGCTCATCTTCTCCTTTAAGAATGTGAGCATGGATAGATACGTATAAAAGAGTGTTGTTGAGGTTCCCAAAGCTAGCACAACAGGATGACAATTTTTTTTTTTAAATAAATGATGGTTATTTTCAGCTGAGAGCCTAAACATTTAAAGGGTAAGTTCACCTTTTGATAAAAAATAATAAATGTACATTTTTTGCAGGTAAAAAAAAATGTGCATTTATTATTTTTTTTTGCTGAAGGAGCCTCTTATTCACAGAGTAGCAACATACCTGGGCGGGCAGAACCCCACTCGGCCACGGTTTTTTATTTATTCATTTTTTTTAATTTGAAAGCTAGTGGGGCGGGGGTGGAAAAGATCCCCTGCTAGCTGTCAAAGCGGGGATCGGCGGGGGGTGGTGCTTTCATAACATGTTCTACCTTGAATATGGCTGTAACGTGTTATGAAAGGCATACTTGTCCTTTAAGAAGAACAGTCACATGGATGAATATAAATATCCTTGTTTTAAAGCTTCATGTACTGAGCCTAATAAGTCTGCAACAGTGGGCTGCTATTATAATCAATGCCAGTCTACAAGATAGAAAGAGACCCTGCCCCCCTTTATCTCTTATCCTTAAAACAAAAATGCTGTAACAGATTTAAGAACTTTCTTATTCAGATTAATTAGTATTTTTACAAACCTGAAGTGTAGTGAATGCATAGGGGCCTTGTGCTGGATCATATATGTATTAGAGCATTTGGAGCTGTTATCCTATTTTTCATCCTCATAATCTCAGCCTGTTTTTAAACTTCTTTCATCTATAGACATTAGTGTACTTTTCCTGTTAATTTCCCATCAGCCATACATGCTCAGAACCTAGGAGGAAACCCACCAGTGCGGTAATAAATGTGTACGTCTATGCTGTCACACCTGATGTGTCCCTTATGACAAGGAGTAGTCAGCCTGGCTGATATAACAGGGATTAGTGAACCTATCCAATCTGCATGCATTGGTATCACCTCATCATCCATAGCCAAAAATTGGTACTGCTAGTTTAAAGTAATGCCTTTGTATCACTTTTGTGTAGCCGGGAGCAAAAATCATCCTCTGCTGAGAGGAAATTGCCTTTTGCTGTTACTCCACTTGTTAGGTAAAGGTAAATACATTAAAGAATAGGGACTTCAGACAACACAAGGAGACATGTTGGAGAACAAGCCTAGGATTCACGCAGCTGGCTAAAGGGGAACCAATCCATTGATACCCAGTGCTACCATTCTGCATTTCAAAAAGTTTTACACTGTTTGAGAAAAAAAAATGTTGCTTGTTTGTTTAAAGGAGTATTTTCCAATTTAGGTCACTCCTGTGACCATACTAAATTGTACTTTCTTTTTTTCAGATGTTTAACAAAAGGAATGAATGCTGTAATAGAGCTCCAGACACAGAGACCTGTTGCTTTAGAATTATACAAAGACCTTAAAGAACTTGGGAGGTTCATGTTGCGTTACAGTGGGTCATCCATAGCTGCTGGAGTTGTCACTGAGGTAACCCTTTTTGTATTTCTTCAGTTGCTGGCTTTAATTCCTACTGTAGATCTAAATCCAAACATTTACATTTCATATAAATCTGAATGTGATTTCAATAGTTTTATATATGTTGCTTTCATTAATATGATACCAGGTGAGCATGACATGAAGGTCCTTGATCAGGAACGTCTTGTTATAGGGTGACAACTTGCCTTTGTGTTGTCACCCTGTCACATGCATCCCTGGTGAAGCCTACAAGTGGCCATGTGAACACACATTTTGCAGGCATGGTTCAATGTTGTCACTATCAGGGAGATAGACTGGAGCAAGAAGCACTGAAGGAGATTGCCAGCACTGAGAAAAAAAACGATCAAGCAATATTTTATGAGAAAACACGATCGTTGTTTGATACATAGTGCTTTAGCAAACTGCATGTCATCCAGCTAGAGTTTAGACTTTGATCTGTTTTGATCTAGTCTGTGATCTGAGCCATTTAATAATGCCCTGATCAGAGACATTAACCAGATATATTACTTGCTCATGCCTTTGTCTGCATTTAGGGGCGGATCACACAACATGCAGCCCGGTGCATTTTTTTTTTTTTCTGCATCAAAAACACATTGATAGAAGGTTAAATGATTTCCAGTGGCACAGTTCACACCAGTGCGGTCAGTTCCAGGAAGGAAAAAAAAAACATTCTGCATTTTTTCTGCACTGAACTGTAATGGAACACACCAAAAACGCACTAAAAAGCACATCTTTATTTAAGGTCAAGAAAAAAAGGGGAAAAAATGCACTGCAAAGCATCAAAAATGCACTGGAACACATCCAATACGCATCAGCATTGCACATGCAGAAACAGATCTGGAAAGCATCTGGACTGCATTTCTATGGTGTGAACTGACCCTAAAACTAAATAGTGTAAATAGGTTATTGATGGAACTAGGAAAAAATATACTTGATCTGTCGTAGTCTGTCAAACGCACACATTAATGATACAAATAAAATTTGGCTGCCAGATGCACTCTCTTGCATTAATGGAATCTGTTCAAGTACTGCATAGTGAAAAATGATCACATCTACACTATATTACCAAAAGTATAAGGTATTTATAGTGCCGCGCTCCTACTTTTATGCATGTATATCTCTATATCCAGTCTGTACTCATTCTACTATATTAATAACTATATAACTCAAATGTGAATATTAATGATAAGTGATATTCCATAAACTAATATAATTGGATGATTACCAATATATTGCCAATACACACATACACAACCTAAATTTGTGTGATAAATAATAATCAATATAGGACCTTAATATAATGTGAATAATAAATAAATAAATGAATATAGTAAAGATATAAATATAATTCGTGCCACTCTGATTATATGTGATCAATCCAGCAATATTTGTGCAAAAATATATTCCAATGTGCAGGTGCATTGGTGTAATGCATAAATATATACATAAATAAAGTCTTTATAAACAAGTGCCAAAGTGCAGGTGATTTCTTAATCCCTCTCGCCAGGTGCCTTATGGTCTCCCTATTCGCTCACCTTTATGTTTGCCTGAATGAATTCAGGCAAATAGACTTTTTGATCCTTCCAGGATCGGTGGGTTAATGCTCTGTATTTAGATGTGCCAAGGTGTAGATGTAGGTACTCCTGTACTCTCCTCTTTCTCCTTTTTCAACTGCTCATACACCGATATTAAGACCAGCTCTATCTCCTTATTCCCCTCCAGGGGTCATCTCCTTCTCATTTCCTCCTCTCACCCATGTGGATTATAAGGGTCAGATGTAGAGAAAAGAAAAACAAACCATGGTGCCTTTATCCTTTTAAATAGTGGAAATTTATTTCTGCCTCCTTGCTGTTTGTGTTTCCTTCACAGGTGTGTCTCTGCTCAACTATATCGTTATATATAGTTGAGCAGAGACACACCTGTGAAGGAAACACAAACAGCAAGGAGGCAGAAATAAATTTCCACTATTTAAAAGGATAAAGGCACCATGGTTTGTTTTTCTTTTCTCTACATCTGACCCTTATAATCCACATGGGTGAGAGGAGGAAATGAGAAGGAGATGACCCCTGGAGGGGAATAAGGAGATAGAGCTGGTCTTAATATCGGTGTATGAGCAGTTGAAAAAGGAGAAAGAGGAGAGTACAGGAGTACCTACATCTACACCTTGGCACATCTAAATACAGAGCATTAACCCACCGATCCTGGAAGGATCAAAAAGTCTATTTGCCTGAATTCATTCAGGCAAACATAAAGGTGAGCGAATAGGGAGACCATAAGGCACCTGGCGAGAGGGATTAAGAAATCACCTGCACTTTGGCACTTGTTTATAAAGACTTTATTTATGTATATATTTATGCATTACACCAATGCACGTGCACATTGGAATATATTTTTGCACAAATATTGCTGGATTGATCACATATAATCAGAGTGGCACGAATTATATTTATATCTTTACTATATTCATTTATTTATTTATTTATTATTCACATTATATTAAGGTCCTATATGATTATTATTTATCACACAAATTTAGGTTGTGTATGTGTGTATTGGCAATATATTGGTAATCATCCAATTATATTAGTTTATGGAATATCACTTATCATTAATATTCACATTTGATTTATATAGTTATTAATATAGTAGAATGAGTACAGACTGGATATAGAGATATACATGCATAAAAGTAGGAGCGCGGCACTATAAATACCTTATATATTGATCTGACACTACCAAGTGAGTTTGTGTAAGTGCCAGCGCACCAAACACAAAATACTAGCAATTAATTGTTTAAACACCCATTGAATGCCTCATTCTTAATAGCTCACAAGGATTCACACTATATATAGCACATATTACCAAAAGTATTGGGACGCCTGCCTTTACACACACATGAACTTTAATGGCATCCCAGTCTTAGCCCATAGGCTTTCAGTATTGAGTTGGCCCACCCTTGGCAGCTAAAACAGTTTCAACTCTTCTGGGAAGGCTGTTCACAAGGTTAGGAGTGTGTCTATGGGAATGTTTGACCATTCTTCCAGAAGCGCATTTATGAGGTCAGGCACTGATGTTGGACGAAAAGGCCTGGCTCACAGTCTCCGCTCTAATTCATCCCAAAGGTGTTTTTAGGTTCAGGTCAGGACTCTGTCCAGGTCAGTCAAGTTCCTTCACCCCAAACTCGCTCATCCCTGTCTTTATGGACCTTGCTTTGTGCCCTGGTGCACAGTCATGTTGGAACAGGAAGGGGCCATCCCCAAACTGTTCCCACAAAGTTGGGAGCATGAAATTGTCTAAAATGTCTTGGTATGCTGACATCTTAAGTGTTTCCTTCACTGGAACTAAGGGGACAAGCTCAACTCCTGAAAAACAACCCCACACCATAATCCCCCCTCCTCCAAACTTTACACTTGGCATAATGCAGTCAGGCAAGTACCGTTCTCCAGGCAACTGCCAAACCCAGACACATCCATTGGATTTCCAGACAGAGAAACGTGATCCGTCGCTCTAGAGAACACGTCTCCACTGCTCTAGAGTCCAGTGGTGGAGTGCTTTACACCACTGCATCTGATGCTTTGCATTGCACTTGGTAATAAAAGGCTTAGATAGAGCTGCTCGGCCATAAAAACAAATTCCATGAGGCTCTCTACCTACTGTTGTGCTAATCTGAAGGACGCAAGAAGTTTGAGGTCATTAGCTATTGATTCTGCAGACAGTTTGGTTAACTTCTGTGCACTGTGTGCTTCGCGCTGTCATTTTGCATGGCTTACCACTTCGTGGCCAAGTGATTGGAACACCTGAATCCAATGATTTGGAGGGGTGTCCCAATACTTTTGGCAATATGATGTATATGTGACATTTTAAAGTCACCCTGTGGTTGATTATTTTCCCTTTTTTTTCCCCTCAGATAAAAGATTGACACTACAGTCTCACTAAGGGGACTTCACCAACTGATCCCACTCAGTGTTGAGAGTTCTCTACCTAAACTGCCTGGCTAAAGACATGAAGTGCAATTAAAGGACAAACCGTACACAAATCTTAGAGAGAACCTCAGCGGGGGCTCACCTATGGATTGCTTCCCACCACCTCCATCTAACAGAACAAAGAACCAGGACCTTAGTCTGTGATTCAGTCACATGGTTCAACCTGTGATAAAGTGCTCCTTATTGTGTCTCTCTTACCGTCCTCAATCGGTCATGAATGCAGCAGCTTTTCTCATGCAAGATGCAAGATTAATTTATATTAACAATATTTGACTTGGCATGATATTCTCTTCTGATCCTAGCAGACATGTTTACAGTTTCTTTCTGAAATGTCTGCAGTTTTTTTTTTTCTTTATGATAACTTAGCTTAATATATTTAGTTCTAAATATGAATTGCTTATATGAAGCAGAACAAAACAGAAGGACTCTTTGTTTTAAGTTTTAGAGCATGGCCGAACATTGAGAAGATCTGAACCTCCCACGAGATGATTCTTTGCTGTGTGTATGTAGATTTGCTGTGAGGGTGTGCCAATTTTATTCAGTGATAAAAATGGATCTAAAATGGAGAAATTAAAAAGCTTTGATTTGAGCATACATGTATTGTTTCCTTGTACTTTGTTTTTCAGCCATTTTATTACGCATCCAAATATTTGGTTAGTGTTAAACTGAGCTCTGATTATGCAATTATGGATTCCTTAAAATCATCAAACATATTTTAAATGCAATTAGCATAATTACCTGAATTTTTTTCCTTATCTTTTTGTAACCACCGATAGAACAGGCCTCTGCCTCAGAAAGGGAGGGAAGCATTCGAAACCATTCAAAGCTCTAATGCTTTGGACATATTTGTCAGTCTTAAAGTGGTTCTAGAGGCTCAAGGTTTTTTTACCTTTATGTATTCTATGCATGAAGGTAAAAAACCTGTGTGCCACGCTGCCTCCCTTAATCCTAACTTGAACCCCCTCGATCCAGCAACGACCTCGACAGCCTTTGCGGTCTGCGGACTCTTCCTCATCATTGGCTGAGACGGCCCATTAGCTCCTGCTGCTGTCAATCACAGCCAGTGAACCAATGAGGAGAAAGCAGGAGGGGGCAGGGCCACAACTCTGTGTCTTATGGACGCATAGAGCAGAGGCTTGGGGATGAGCATGCAGTGGCGTCCCCAGGGCAAGCAGCTTTCTTTGGGGGCACTAC